TCATCAAAAATACGAAGAGAAATTAAAATCTAAAAAAATTAAAATTAAGAAAAATGAATAAGAAAAAATAAATGGTGTTTTAAAAAGAGAAAAAAAATTAAAAAGAGAGCAGCAGATGAAAATTTCTAAAATAAAATGTAGTTCATTTTTCCTATCATAATTTTCCTCAACCAATATAGAACCCATAGCAGTGTTTGTCAATTTATCATTAAGATGAAGTGACTTTATTTAGGATCTAGTTTTAAAAACTCTACTTTTTTTTTCTCTTGGAAAGAAAAACTTTACACTGAAAAATATTTTCTTTTTTCAATGACAGAAGTAACACATTTTCTTTGAAGTAAAATATTCCAGGTCTCCTCTCAAAGAAACAGAAAATTTTCTGCTGAAATCAAAATCTTCTTGTCATTTTTCAGTAATGTAAGAAAGGAGACATTTTTCACAGAAAGGAAAATCTTTTCAATTGTTCTTATGTTTTATTATGAAATCAGGGCATGTTTTCTGTGTCTGCAGACATTCTGCCAAATTTCAGGAAATTGCAAGTGAAGAAATAACAATTCTTGAGCATAAATTAGAAGTTTAACAATTACTTGAGAAAATATTCATTCTTATCTATGATCAGTTGCCAAAGTGAAAGTTAGATTTCTACAAATCCAATTCCTTATGATATGTACAAAATATGCGACTCGAAAGGGGAACATAAGATAGAAGGTCTTGGTGTGAGTCCTCTGCAGCAAAACAAGCAAAATCTGTAGCTTATTTTCTCTCAAGAGAAAAACAAGACAGAAAAAATTTGAAAAAATTATTCAATTTCCATAAAATCTTATTAAGGGAAAATCTAACTTCCTCTGCATTTTTGAAACTGTCTTTAACAAGTGAGTGAATTCAGTTATGTGCAAAAAGAGGAAAACCCGAGGGCAGTGGATAGTTCATCATGCAGAAGATAGATCTGGTTCTACTGTACATGGAAGTGACATGCAGGAAGAGAGCACAGGGTTACTGTGTGCCCTGGGCTGAGCTCACTGCAACTTCAGCAAGAGGCAGCTGTGACCTGTGTGGCAGTAGGAAAGGCTGAAAGAGTGTCATGGCACTTCCCATTCATGTGGTCCAGCATGAAATCATGGCACACTAAGTGGTGGGAATGCAGGGCTAGCATCACCTCCACTTCTGCTGGCATATCTCTGCTTAGCTGACTCCTATGTGGGAGGGTTTAGCAGGAGCAGAAAATACTTCTAGAGAGTTCAGTAACTGTCTGGGTGCATAAGAAGCTTCAGCTTTTAATATGAGTTTGGTAACCAAGGTAGAACATCAGTCCTATCCTAAGGACTCCACTGCAGTCAGGAGCTGTTCATGGAGCATGTGTCAACAAACCAGAAGTAACCTGAATCTAACCATTAGTTATCAACAGTGGTTAAAATATAGGAGCATAAGCTTTCACACACCTGAATCACTCAAGGCTGACTGAGCCCTTGTGTTATTAGATCCTGAGCTGGAGCCCAGTACGACACATTTTCAGGACTATAAAGACTGGCACTAGAAAAGTTAAAGCTGCTTTTGATATATTGGAGAATTGCCAGTGTATCAAAGTGTATGCAACCAATCAGGTAAAATGGAGTTCATCTCTGCTTGAACATCCTTGTAGAATTTTGCTTATAAACAGCAGTTGTGCCTCCAACAGAAATATCCAATGAGTCACTCAAATTCCAGCCATACAAACACAAAAAATAAGACTGAAGGGAAGAACAAAGCCTGGTGCTGCTCACCAGACATAACTGGGGTCATTGCACTGCAGGCAGCATTCCAGAGTTTTGATTATTTTGAACTCTCTAACATTAAAAACCCATGGCCTGAAGGTTAGTTCAGGGGGTTTTTCATGGGCACAAGACAATTCCTGGCTGACAGGGATACAACTGCTGATTCATTACCAGCCATTCCTCATATTTTCAGAAGAGAACATGCTGAGGGAAAGCAATATAACTACAAAGAGAAGAATCCTGAAATGCCTGAGTAAGGCACAGAAGGACTGTGCAGTGCAGCCCTGTAATCTCTCAGATCCACAAGGACTGCAGTGAGAGACTTGTGCTAGAGCTTAGCTCTAGTGACTGCAGTAAACTAAACCTTCAGCCACATGCATTTGACCCTTGTTTTTATCTATGGAAATGTAACCACTAGACAATGAACTATCATTTCAATTTGAGCTATAGGATATTTTGTAGCAAAAGTAGGGAACTTCCTCAAGACACAGCAAAGGGGTGCCTGGAGGTTGTGGGAGTAAATCAGAAGAGAAGACCTCAGATGCTGCAAAGAGGACTGGATGGGCAGGAGTGCAATCAGAAAATGAACCCACCTACAGGGACTATAGAAACCAGTAACAAGCAACAGGCAGGGCCCCAGTTAAGAGGCACCCAGCTTGAGCTGTCACTACAATTGCCTATTAGACATAGGAAGAATAGGAACTCTGCTTGATTCTTTTACTGAAGTGAAAGCTAGGGATAAGCCCTGTTGAGGTAAGATCCACATAATTCGTACCATGGTCCAGGTGATGGCCGTATAATTCCATTCCTACAACGGGACTCAGGACAGGCACTAAAATCACTGCTTCAGCTTCAAATAAAAATCATTATTTTCCTGTTTTAACTTGAAATAAGCTAAGATGAAATAAGATTCAGCTACTTCACCATTAAATCGAAGGGCTGTAATCAGTGATTTGATTAATACCGAACTTTTCCTAACCCCTCAGCTGCTCAGAGTCACATTTTTACAGGGAGATAAGCAATCATTGAATTCAGCCTGGAGCTAAAGAATGTGATTTGCTCTTCAGGTCAAATACTGGCTACTCTCTAGGGTAAGACTCTTCAGCTGATAGCCTGTGATCCACACCAGAAACAAAAGGGACAACAAACTGGCCTTTTCATCCAACTCAGCCCAAGGCAAACCTATCTGGTTAAAAATCACAATGAATACAGCTGGGACCTCTGCTCTTTCGTTCTTTCATTGTCTTCTCCAGTGGGACTTACTAAACCATTCCAGTTCCTAGAGATGCTGGTGTTGGAGATCCTATACCAGGATCTGAGTTAGGAAGAGGAGTTTGCTGTACAGTGAGGCTTCTGTGGCACAAAGAGTTAAAGGGAATCTGGTACAGAAGAAGAGTGGAGTTTCCCTTATAATATTAGAACAGATTTAGTTTTAAACACATATGGACAAAAGGGATAGAAAATTTGAGAGGCACAGCCACTAAGGAATGGGAAAAAAACTCATACTGCAGGGACTAAAGTAACATTGATATTTTGGAAACCAGAAACTTGTAATAGAGCAAAAAAAGGTGTGCAGGTGAGCACCCTCTGTGCCTGGAGAGGGGAGGACATAACAGAGGCTTTAAAGTGTATAACATCTGCATTTAGCTGATTCTGGTCTTTTTCTTATCATTTCTCACCCTTATTTGACACCCTTAAAATAGCAAAGGAAATACATTTGAGAAAATCCTTTCTTAGTTTCCATTTCCTAGTGTCTATTTTGAAATCCGCAAAATACATCAAACATCTCCAACTCTTTGCTACATATTTGCCTAAACATAACAGATCAAAGAATTTAAGGGAAAAACAGAAAAATCTTTTTAATAAGTCACCCTACCTGTATCCCCATTCTCTGGATCTGTTTTCTTTTCTTCTACAAACAAATGAAAGCAATATGTAAAACAAAAAAAAAAAAAGAGGAGGAGAGAAAAAAATGCAGAAATAATAATAAAAGTAATATAAAAATGCATTAAAAAGGAAAACATTAACAAAACTCACCAAATTAATATAACTTGAAGAATTTAGTCAACCAACCAAGTATGGTGCTCTAAATCTAGAGGCATATTCACTGCATGCTAGTGTGTATATTTGTGTACTCCTGTTGAACATTTACTGAAGGGAACCCATGGATATTTTGTGCACTTCCAGAATCATTAACTCAAGAAAGAGAGAGCAAGGCAGGTTTCAGGTAGAGCTGCTTTACAATTTCCCTGATCGGGATGACACAATAATAGAAATAAAACAAATTTGCTTGTGCTGTAGTTTTTATGCAGTGCACATACGAGATACAGTCTAATGGTTCAGGCATAAAAACTGAATGCATCAGAATGGGTTTTGGCAATTACTTTGAATCTTCATTGGTTTAATCAATTCTCACAGCTTCTACAGGTTAAAAGGTTTAATAATATTACTGTGACTTGTCTTAGAGTTAAAAATTATCAAGAACAAAAGACACTAAAATCAATACTCAGAGCCCAGTTCATGCACATAAACTTATCTGACTGACACCAACAAATGCTCTGAATGCATATCAAAGGCTGTAAACAGCTCAGGGCACTTTTCTGTCACAAAGAAATGAAAATACATCGGATCCCTATCAAATAATTTGGCAGCCCATAAATAACCTGAAATCCAGTTTGGGTAAATGTGAAAAAATTTTAAATCAAATGAAATTTACTTTAATTAGAAATACATTAACTTAGATTCTGTTTCCTTTTCAAAATTATATTAAATTCAATTAAAACAATCCCATGAATATGAAGCAACAGCCCCCAAGCTACATAACAAAAATAGTATGCATTACTAGAAATAAATATTTTTCCAGAGTTATTGGTTATTGATGATTGCTCAAAAAATTATGATTGAATTTACAGTACAGAGGAAAGAAGAGGAAAACAGAGCTGTCGTATTTTAAGGAAATACCATTTTGTAGGTGGGTATCAAAGCAGAGGACAAAGTCAAAGTCAGAGAGAAATCATACTCAAGTAAGGTAGAATCAAAAGAAGGAAAACTGTGTTCCTGCAGAGAGCATAAATAATGTGCTACACTTCAATAGATCTGGCTTCCTATCATGTGTGGGATCAAGATTATTGTTCTGCTGGCAATTTCTAGTGGAACTGTTAGGCAAATCAATGGGAAACAAATATGGCAGGTCATAAACCTGCACTTTCAGAAATCAGTGGGTATTAAATCAGTTCTTGGAACTTCTCCCATTCCCTAACCTTTCCTGCCCCGTACTCTATACCATTTTTAAATAAGGCATTTTGCATTCTTTTGAGTTGGCCTTTAGGCAGCCTGGCCTTCCTGTCTCTGTGGGCTGTGGATAATGCTACAAAAATAGCAGAGAATGATAGTTTTGATTGCTTTTCAACCTTTCAATTTTTTCAGTTTTTCTTCTACTTTTAAAATTCTGTGACCAATATAAAATCTACAAATACATGTTCTTCTACTGTTGCATTACTTTCTAAAGCAGAAAGCAATTTGATAGCAATACCACTGATCCAACATAATACATAATAGGGGAAAGTGAATTGAGTCATTAAAACACCTTTGAGCTTGAGCTCAGAGAGAATGATGACATTTCTTAGTCCATATGCAAAATGAAATCTTCACTTTGCCTAAATATTATCTTAATACAGAAATCTTATATTATATAGGGTAATTAATTTTTTAAGATTCCTAGAAGTCCAGTCAACCTTATGTCTGGATGTCTTTCAAACATGAATCTTTAAATAAATACATTGTCAAAATAAAGGAGTTTGAAACCTAGCCAACCTCCACAAGTACATAAAAATTATTTCCAAATGGGATTGTAGAAATTAATATCATAGTATTGGCAAACACAAAAGTCTACTAGATTCTTGAATTTTAGAAGTGTAATTTAAGTGCTGTGACAAATCTCGACAACAGATAAAACCAATTTTGTTCAGTTCTACTGCTTCCACCCAAGTGAGATCTTTCTCAGTTTAATCTTCTGTCCTTTCTAGTACTTCTTCAGACAGCTCTTCACAATACATCTGAAACCTCAGTTTGAAGAGCAGGATCCACTGTGCTGACCTTTCTACTAAAAATCTGAAGAATATATATTTACCAAGTAAAAAATATTAACTTCGCAGCAGCAAAGATCATTGGTGCAGCTATGGGCCTAGTCATCCCCTCTGAAAGAATCCAGAGCAGGTTCAGGATGTTGATACTAAAGTAATTAATGTTTTTGCTTGTAATGTGCTCAAAACATAAAAGTTCTAAGGAGCCTAGAAACTGCTGAAAACCCATAGATCACCATGAGATTATTTTAAAATGTCTCAAACTCAATAATATGAGATGGCAAAGTCACTCCTAAAAAAATCTTGATCTGTTTGTTGTTTTTTTTTTTAAATGACCAGTATAATCACATTAGTATTTTTTCACATTACTTGATTTAACCTTGGTTTACAGAGTGAAACACATATATTGTATCCTGTGCTGTAATGATCTCAGTTCAAGAACTAATTTTTTTCAGATCTATACATTTTGGAGAAAATAAATTAATGCTTTCAAAAAGGAGACATTTCTGCACATTACAGAAAATAACTGTATGTTTTCAGTTTAATCAAAATACAGACATATTTAAGTATATTGATGAAATATAGAGATGACTATAGAGGGATTAAGATGCTAAAATATTGTCTCTCAAAACCTTCTTCTACCACCACAATAGACTTATATAGACTTATAATGACCACTGAAATTTTATTTAATAGTAGATGTATCCATGCTCCCATAGTTTAATTCCTTGCTCTTTCTAACTGGTCCTAATATATCTGAGAGATATCTAACAATCTAACATGTATCTGGAAGATAAAATGAACAGAAAAGAATTCTTAATAAGAGTCTGATTCAAGAGTAGACTTGTCAAGAGCTAAATCTGATCTAAAATGACCTCAATTTTGTTGGAAATGCCATAACTCAATGAGCTTTGCTGTTCTGATGGGTACCTGGAGGTGCCAGGGCCCTATCAGACTTCACCCATGCCCCACCAAGAAGTCTCATGTAGCAGAGACTCCAGGTTCCTTGGAACAGAACATGTCCATCTCTGTACATGACAGAATAGAATAACAGTTCCACAGAAGAAGCAGGATAGCAGACTTCTCCCCAGTCGTGGATACTGATGGCAGTATTGAACAATTGCTCAAAAATTACTGATGGCAGCATTGAACAATCGCTCAAACTTGCTGGCTTCCTGTTGAAGATAAGGGGCAGCCTAATTCTTCAGCCTTAAGATTACAACTGGGAGGTGCTGGGCTCTGTAGTCTTCTTCCCAGGGTTTCTTCTCTCACAGCTGACTGCTCCAAACTTAAGGTTAAATACTGGTTCTTTCTTGACCTTTCTCTTCTCTCTCACCTGGGATCCAGGTGAATGAGATTTGCATAAACTGAACAGAGGCCTAAAATAAATCTTGACTTCCTTGCTTTAAATGAAAAAAAATTGCAATTTCCCATGCTGGAGGATGTGCCTGTCATTGCAAGAGACAGATAAGGAACTTGTTTGTTTCTGACTTTAGGAATAAGATAAGACAATGGCATAAAAGGTTTTATCCTTCTCTTTTTCATATTTGCAGACACTTATTATCAGCAATATGATAGGGATTCTATTTATACAGTGGATAAATTAGTTCCTCTACTTATGTACTTTATTAAAAATTGAGTCTAATTTTTCAAGGTATTCCAAATTATTAAATAACAATTTATTTTTAAAATTGAATATACAAGTAGTACCCTAACTTTGGGTAAGTACTTCCAAAAATGCTAGCTGACTTTCTTACTAGAGATTTCTCTTGAAATGCTCTTCATGAGAATATAGGAAAAATTAATTTAATTCTGAAAAGAAAAAAAAATCCCTGAAACAACATCAGAAAATCACAGAATATTCTGAGCTGCAAGGGACCCATAAGGATCATTGAGTCCAGCTCCTGGCCCTTTACAGGACAGCCCCAAGAGTCGCATTGTGTGCCTGAGAGCATCATTTGAACACTCGAACTCTGTCAGGCTTGGTGCTGTCATTCCTGGGGAGCTGTTCCTGTGCCCAGCCACGCCGTGGGTGAAGAACCTTTTCCTAAAAACCAACTTAAACCTGCCCTGACACAGCTTCAGGCCATTCCCCTGGGTCCTGTCACTGAGCACCAGGCAGAGATCAGTGCCTGTCCCTCCTCTTCCCCTCACAAGGAGCTGTAACTGCACTGAGGTCTCCTCTCAGTCTCCTCCAGGCTGAACAGACCAAGTCACCTCAGGCATTCCTCACACGGCTTCTACTCGAGCCCCTGCACTGTCTTCACAGCCCTACTATCACATCAGGCCAAGGAAAGAAGATTGTCTCCTAAAAGTAAAACATAAAATGTAGAAGTCTTTGCTTAGAACATCAAAACTTGCCAGTTTTGCCTTGTACTCAAAAGGATTACATTTCCTGCCATTTGCTGAGCTATTCAATTCCAACTCTACCTCTAGGGAATTAGTTCTAAATTTTGTCATTCTGGCTTTCAACAGTGTGAGAAATGTAACTGCCTAACTGCTACAGGTCAAGCAAGGTATCAGATGCTGTGATATAAATGGTTACTGAACTCCACTCCAGGCCTTTATGTCCAATTTGGGGCAAATATAAAAAAGGTACTGTTGCAGCAAACAAGTTCTTTCCAAGTCTGTGATCCACAGTCTGAATTAAAAAAGTAATTAATGGTTGTTGAAGTGTTCTTCTACTTAATATTACTTATATATTGTTGATACTTAATATTACTGTTTAAATGTGACTGAGGTGTCAATTATTGCCCTTAAAAGGAGATGCTCAAAAGAAGACTATTTCAGCCAGCCAGCTTCTTAGCAGGGAACATGGCTTCACATTCCT